CCGTACAGTAACAAGACCCCTCCAAAAAAAAGTGGGGGGGGGGCGGTGAGGAGACCAGCAAGTGGCGTGGTGGTTAAAGCACTGGACCACGTGGCCGATCGTGGTTCAAGTCCTGGACCTGGCCACTGCTTTTTCGCTTTCCCTCTTCTCTGTCTCTCTCTAGTCAAATTTAAAAATACTAATAACAAATGAAGTTAAGTAAATAAATAAGTCTTTAAGATATAAATATATATGTGGCTGTGTCCCACAACTGGTGGGGTCCTCAGTGAGTTTGATCACATTGGTTCATTTTCTGGAAAACTGTTTTTGTTGGCTTGCTTGTTTGAGGTTTTTGCTATAGGGCGCGTGTGCTCACCAGAGAGACAGAGATAGAAAGCGAGAACTCGCCCTCCGGGGGAGTGGCTGTGCCTCAGTCCCTTCTCCTCCGTTCTCCTCTCGGGGTCTTGGGCACGCGCACCCAACGCAAGTTTAAGCCTCCAGGCCTAGAACTTGAGGCGCGGTTTACTATGGCAGTCCAGCGACAGCCGTGATGTCATCTGCTGGTCCTGGGAAACATGCTTTGAACTGAACGTCTGTTTGCAGTATGTCAGCGTGGCAAGCCCAGAACACAGATGAGCGATGACGCCCCGGCGCCCCGGCCACCTACGTCAGGGCGACGTGGTCACAGCCCGCCATTCAAAGCAAGGCTTCTCATGTCTGCTTCGGGGGGGCTGTGCCTCGGGGCGCGGCACGCGGTCCCTCCAGCCGCCTGTGTCCGCTGCCCTGCACCACGGGCCATGCACTCACAGCCCGCACCCCTCTCCAGCTCTGAGGGGCATGTGCTGCTCAGATTTCCAAAAGCCGCGAGCCGCTCTGAGTCCTCGGCTTTGGAAATGCCGGGAGACAGGACGACCATCTTGATCCTCTCTCCAGGGAGACCACCTCTGCGCCCCCTCCCTCCCGGCCCTGGTGCCCAGGACCCAGGCGAGCCCAAGGCCCCGTTGGAGCAGCGCACACTGTCGGGACCGTGGCCTCCTGTCCCAGTGCAGGTAACGCCCCTGCCTGAGGGCTGCCTCGGCCCACCCTCTTCCACCAGCACACAGGAGCACCGTCCTCACCGCCCACATGGCCCGTGCTGCGGGCGTGCCCTGCCCTTCCACACACAGACTCTGTAGTGCAGAGGTTCGGCCAGAGCTTCCCTCCGGTGGTGTTTAACCTCGCCGGTGTTACGCGTTAGAGAACTGCACCTGGGGCCTGCAGGTGACATACTGGTAAAGTCGCTGACCCCCATGTGGCCCACCGCAGTTCAAGTCTGAGATGGAGGCTTGGAACTCACACCTCTGCATGTGTGTGCATGCTCAAATCCTGAGAGATGGATTGCACCGTGGCCATACTCCCGGGATGATCTCTTCTTTCTATCTCTGTGTCTCTCTGTCTCTCAGGTGAGCTCATGTGTCTTATAGCAAAACAACACTGGAAAATAAAAAATTGGGTCTTTAATAAAAAATAAGTTCTCGGGGGCCAGCAGTTAGTGTAATGGCTACGTTGCTGGGCTCCTATGTAGTCGACCGCAGTTCAAGTCCTGGACCCGGTGGCTTAAACTCATGCCAGGCGCGTGTGTATGCCCAAGATCCCGAGAGGAGAATGGAGGAGAAGGGATTGCGGTGTGGCCATCCCCCAGGGGGTGATTTCTCGCTTTCTATCTCTCTGTCTCTGTCTTTCTGGTGAGCGCATGCACCCTATAGCAAAATAAATAAATAATTTTTAAAAAATTCTTATGTCCTGGCCAACTCCAGGGTTGGGAGTGATGTGCTACTCAGAGGAGCCGAATCCCACATGACAGCTGCGGTTTGAATCCTCAGTCCGGTTGGCCCGAAACACGCCAGGCATATTGAGACTGGAGTGGGGGCGGGGGTCCCGCATGGCCAGGCCCAGTGGGAGGTGCCCTGTCTCTCACGAGCGTGTGCACACTCCCACCGTGGATATACATTTGACTTCTTAGTGCTCAGTGGTATGCGACTTTTAAAAAGGCTTTTGCCACAGGGTGTGTGCATTTGCCGGGAGAGGCAGATGGGGAGACTGAGGGGACGGTGAGGGTCACCCCGGGATGTGGCCGCGCTGCCGTCCCTTCTCCACTCTCTTCCTGGGGTCTCGAGCACGCTCACACGCCCACGTGACTCAGCCTCCAGGTCTGGGACTCAAACCACAGCTGGCCGCGTGCGAGTTCAGCAGCTTAACCACCGTACGCCCGGCCCTGGTATTAAACGTGCTCAGTCTGTTGGCCGTTTATAGTACTCACTTTTCTCCTAATTGCCGGAGGGTGTACGTGCTCACCAGAGAGAGGGGGAAAGGGCCCCTAGTGAGGCAGGGTTGGGCCACATGCTTTCCCTCCGTCTCTCTGTCCTCTCAGGTGTGGGGCCTTGCACGCAATGCTGGTGTGCCTTAAGCTGCCAGGCCTGTTATTCTCTTTATGTATTTAATTTTTTTTTTTGAGAGGTTTTCCTATAGGGCGCGTGCGCTCGCCAGACAGACAGAGAGAGACATAGAGACAGAAAGTGAGAAATCACCCCCCGGGGGGATGGTCACGCCGCAATCCCTTCTCCTCCCTTCTCCTCTCGGGATCTTGGGCACACACGCACACGCGCCCGGCGTGAGTTTTAAGCCACCAGGTCTGGGACACGAACCGCGGTCGACTATGTGGGAGTCCAGCGACATAGCCATTACGCTAACTGCTGGTTCCCTTAATTTTATTTAATTATTTTAATTTGATCAGAAAGGGAGAGCAAAGGTTAGAAAGCAACCTGCCAGCCCCAAGACTCGAACCGCGGTAGGCCATGTGGGAGTCCAGCCCCCTCAACCACCACACCACCCGCCGGCCCCACCAGGCCTGTTATTCACGCCACAACTGGCCATACCGGACCCAGCTTCTGTGCATGGCCCTTAGCTGCTGGGCTACCAGGGCAGCCCGTATTTTTTTCCTTTTGTCAGGTACTTCTGCGTTATCTTTGCTAGCGTTTCCACTTATTTGTCTGTGTATTTCTCGTCGGTTTCTGAGAGCTTTCTCTAGATTAAGGCAATTGCTGCTCAGCTGTTATAGAAAGCTGGAGAAAAGGAGATTTGAGGGGCTCCCTGCATGGTTTCCTTTTATTTTTATTTTATTTAAAATTTTCTTTTTTAATTTACTCATTTGTTTATTTCATTTTGACCAGAGAGAAAGAGAGAATGAAAAAGCAAGCCACTAGGTCCGGGGCTTGAACCACAGTCAGCCATGTGGGAGTGCCCAACGCCTTAACCACCGTGCCACCTGCTGGTCCTTCCTTTTATTGTAATAGTAAATTATGTTGGGCATGGTGGTTCAGGTGCTGTTCTCTCACAAGGCCAACTGTGGTTCAAGTCCTGAACCTCGTGGGTTGTTTTCTCACTTTCCCTCACTCTCTGGTCAAATTTTTAAAATAGTAATAGAGTTAACAAAGTAATTTTTCTTCTTTTTAAAATTTTATTTATTCGTTCGTTTATTTAAATTTGACCAGAGAGAGACACAGAGAGCAAGAAAGAGGGAAAATGAGAAACCAAGCCACCAGGTTCCAGACTTGAACTATGGTTGGCTATGTGGGAGTGTCCAGCTCCTTAACCACTGTGCCACCTGCTGGTCCCCCAAAAGAGTAATCCTTCTAAAAAAGTAGTAAATGGTGCTACCCAAGAAGAAACAAGGCAGAGAATACAAATCAGCGAGACAGACAAATAAGCAGAGGTGGACAGGCAGACGGCACGCTCAGAGCCCGCTGGGGGACAGGCTCCGCACGAGCCTGGCTGCCCCGTCCCTTCCAAGCACCTTGTCTGTTCCCCAGGCGGCTCTCGGAGGTCCCCGGGGCTGCTCTGCCCCATCTGCCCATGGCGGGATGGCGTCATCGTCCCCAGCGACTGGGACTGCAGGCCAGAGAGCTTTGGTGCTGGGCCAGCTGAGGGGCCGGGGCCAGGCAGGGGCTGCCCAGACCCTGCAGGGGAGGTGTCGGCTGGACGTGCCCATCGGGGACGCAGCCTACCTGCATCCTACCACGGGCTCCTGTGCTTACCTTTCTGTGACAGGGCCCTCGGAGCGCCAGGGAGGGGCGCTGTCCTCACCAGGGGGCCCAGAGCCAGCCCCGCTCGGCACAGGGAACCGGTGGAGACAACGCACAGTGGGGCAGCCAGGCAGGCACGGCCGCGTCCGGGCAGGTACACAGCTGTGGGCCCGGCGGGCAGGAGGGCATCGTGGAAGGTCACTGCTCAGAACAGTGGTGTGATGGACCCCGAGTGAGCTGCAGAACTCGGGCTGCACGGGCCTCGGGCGAGCGGAGGGTGCCCAGGTACGCAGATGGCGGGTGGAGCCAGAGCTGCCCCTCATGGTCCCCTCCTCCCCCCACCTCATGTGTCTTGGGACCTTGGGCAGCGGGAGGGCACGGCCAGAGCTCACACTGGACATGCTCTGCCTCCACCTGCTGTCTGCATACCCGGGGTGGGGTGGGGCACCCTGCTGTTGGGAACGGTGGCCTCCAGGGTGACCACACGCCTCTGGGCCCCACAGAGGCAGCACAGGCTCATCACGGCGACTCACAGACAAGCTCCTCAGAAAGAAAACAGGCCCCCGGGCTCCCCTGAGGGGAGCGACCGTCACCCCCAGGGCTCCCCGTCACTGGCCAGTTCATCCCTCCAGGACACTTGGAGGCTGCTAGACCTGGGGTCCAGCCCTTCCGGCCTTGCCTCCCAGGACAACTCGGCCACAGGTAGGACCGCCTGTGCCCCCAGCTGCCACCACAGGGCTGGTGACAGCACATGCCAGGGGCCACGTGGGCTGACCGGCGTGGCCGGTGCAGGCCTCTTCCCACCTCTCCTGTCCTGTCCCACACCCGGGCGCTGGGCTCCCCACAAAGCCCTGGGGACAGTGGCACGCAGACCCGCCTTTACCGTCTCTCCAGCATCGCCAGCAGCGAGAGGGTAATTACAACTGACCACCCCAGAGAAGTTGGGGCCGGCTCGGGCCAGCCGTCTTCTGGGGGGGCAGGTGGTGCTCTGGGGTCACCTGCCCAGGAATCTGAGGGCGTGAGGTCCTGGCCTCGGCTGCCCAGGGAGTCCTGGGGGAGTTCGAAAGGCTTCTGGGCCCCCTGAGCCATGCATGGGGCTTCGACCCCAGAGGTGGGGCGGGGTGCTGTGGGCAGCATAGAGGTCGCGTGGGCTATGGAGTGCAGAGCCGTCACGCCATGGGGCACAGCCTCCCCTGAGCTGGCCGTGGCTCGCTCTCCAGCCTGGACGGGGTCTTCCATGCCTTCCGGTGTCAGCGGCGCTCCAAGTCCGGTGCCCATGGGGCCGTGTCATCCCAGGGGCGCCTGGCCAGAGAGCAGTGTGTGCCCAGGGTGAGCGGCCGCGACAGGGACCCGCTGAGCCTCCAGCCCAGCCGGGCCGGCTGACAGCAGCATTCCGACGGGAGGGCAGGCTCACCTGGGGACGGGCTGTCCCCTCTCCGTCCCTGCCCTTTGTGTGCAGGGCTGCCTTCTGGGTCAGCCCCCCCCAGGCTCTTCTGTTTCTGCGCCCCACCCTGGGGTCCTGCCGCCTGCGTGAACCCTGGCCTGTGCAGCAGGACCCCGCTTGGCCCCACCCCACTGGCTCCCAGCTATCCCAGGGCTGTGCCTTTGCCCGGAGCCCTCAACCGCAGCCTGGGGGACGGCGCCCAAGCCTTCGCTGCCCGCAGGTGGGCTCAGCCTCCCCGAGGGCAATAGGCTCGGGTCCCAGCACGGGACTGTCCCATGGCAGGTGGTGTGGGCACCCGCCCTGCCCAGCTCTGCCTTGGCCATGCCGTGACCCGCCCGCCCAGCCCTGGCCAGTGCCTCTCACCTGTGTGTCGCCGCCTCTGCTCCCTCTGGCTGTCCCATGTGCCCACGGCGCGTCCCCACTCCCTTCCCAGCTGGGGCCACAGGCACAGCCACCGCCTGGCTCCTCTGGCAGGCTGATGGGGACAACGGCCTCTCACGTGGCATGAAGCCCAGGTGTCCTGAGCCGCAGCAAGGTGGCTGCGTCAGTGTCATTCGTGGTGAAGCGTTTTGCCTGACTGCCACCGCAGCAAGTTCTTGTGGGATGGTCACTCTGGTTCCCTCACTTCCTCCACTTTCTTCCTGGGCCCTCGCCCGCATGTGGCAGGGGAGTGGGAAGGGAGGCCACCCCGCCCAGCCTGCAGTGCTGGGCTGTCTGCAGGTCTAGGAGGTTCTGCGCCCTGCCCTTGCCATTGGCGTCAGGCGGCCCCAAGCAGGGCTGCGGCCCTCCATGCAGACAAAGCGGCTGAGGGGCCCTCTGCCTGCACACCCCTCTGCGCGCACACCCCTCTGCGCGCACAGCCCTCTGTGGTGGCTCCTGGCTCCTCCCAGGCCCAGTCCCAGCACTGTCTCCAGCTGGTCCCAAGTCCCTGATTTTTTTTTAAGAGAGATTTTTGCCGTAGGGCGCATGTGCTTGCTGGAGAGACAGAGAGACAGAAAGCGAGAAATCACCCCCAGGGGGCAGGGCCACACCACAGTCCCTTCTCCGTTCTCCTCCCGGGATTTTGGGCATATGTGCACACGCTCCCGGTGTGAGTTTCAGGAACCGTGGAGCCAGCCGTGTGAGGTCCCGTGCCTTCAGCACCAGGCCACCTGCCAGCCCTGTCCCTACTGCTGGTTGGTCCGTCTGGGTCGGCCGCTCCCAGCTGCGGCTGTGAGGGGCTGTCCCTGTCCGTCCTGCTCTCCGAGTTGTGCCCAGGTCCCTGGTCTGCCCCTGGCTGCCGTGGCAGCCCCCCCGCCCCCGTGGCGCTTTCCTCAGGGACCCCCGTCTGCCCGTGTGGCCACGCAGGCGTGCCCTCGGCTGCCCCCGGCTGTCTGCCATGTGCACAGGTGTCCCCGGAAGCCCGGCTGGTCCTGAGCCCGGTCGGCGTCTGTGCACAGCCCTCACCTGTGCTGGCCTCACCTGTGCTGGCCTCAGCTGTGCACCCTCACCTGTGCGCCCTCACCTGTGCTGGCCTCACCTGTGCGCCCTCCCCTGTGCTCGCCTCGCCT